GATTCTTGGAAGGTCAGGGCCAGAAGGAAATGGCGCTCAAGGTTGCCACCGATCCCGAACACCGATTCGATCTCGCTTTGTCCCTTGGAGATCTGGAACAGGCTGTTACAATTGCTCGTGAGCAGGACACGGAGCATAAGTGGAAGACTGTCGGTGATGCTGCTCTCACAAACTGGGATGTCAAGCTCGCGCAAGAATGCTTCGTCAAGGCCAAGGACCTTGGTTCCCTTCTCCTCCTCTACAGCGCAACTTCGGATGCCGCTGGCCTCCGGGAACTCGCTTCCCTAGCCGAGAACGCCACCGCAAACAATGTGGCCTTCTCTGCGCTCTGGCAAATCGGTGATGTTCAGGCGTGTATCGACCTGCTCGTCAAGACCAACCGCCTCGCCGAGGCTGTTCTCTTCTCACAAACGTACAAGCCAAGCGCTACCGCTGGACTTGTCAAGCAATGGAAGGAGTCCCTGGAGAAGGAGAACAAGACCAAGGTTGCTAGACTCCTTGGCACGCCGCCTCAGGACGGTGAGGGAGATGCAGAGATGTTCCCCGAATGGGATGAGTACCTGCGGTTGGAGAAAGAAGGCGGAACGGTGGAGGACCTTTTGATCCAAGAAGACGAAGTAGAGGCGGATGATGCCGATGAGGAGATTGCCGCCGATGCTGAAGAAGATGACGAGGAAGAAGACGAAGACGAGGAAGAAAGCGAGGAAAGTGAGGAGGAGAAGTAGGCGTCTGCATCAAGCGTTGTTTTGCTTGGCGGATCCGTTGTAGCTGCAGTTTGACTTTGGATGTGTGGCTGTTCCACGTAGCGTAGGTGCGGTAACGGAAAACGATACAATGATACAGATGTTTCAAATATGTGTTATCCAAAGTTGTGATTTGATATATTGTAGCATGATGTGACGTTATATCACGTCCCTTCGTTAAATCTATGCCTAGCCCACAGAAACGCCACCCATATGTACGTTTGTCTTGTCTTCGTGATATTCCAACATATACAAACATTTTACAAGGCCATACTGATATTCAATGGCAGCGTTGTCATTACTGTACGACAGCCTCGTTGGTCGCGCCCTGGTATGCCGAGTCGCGGAATCTCTCCTCACCACTAGCTGTGCTGTCGCTGCTGCTCGCTTCCTCCGACTCTTCGGAAGTGGTGTGAACTTGACTTCGTACGCGCGCATTCATTTCCTCGCGTGTATCGTCCACTGTCTCCATTTCGCGCAGCCCCTTTCCCCGACCGAAGAAGTCTTCTGTCCTCAGTCCACGGACATCGCCCTGCGCCATTCCTTTACTGCTCCTCAGCGTGCCGTCTGCCTTCTTTCTCCTGATGTACTCCCGCACTGGCCCCATGGCCGCATCTCTACACGCCTCCTTGATGTCCGAACCGCTCATGCCAGCCGAGACGCGGACTAGGTAGTTTAGATCAAAGTTCTGGTGGTCGATTTTGGTGCCGCGTAAGATCAGAGAGAAGATGTTGTGACGCTGTGTGGCTGAAGGGAGTGCGACGGGGAACTTCTTGGGCATGCGGCGGAGAATGGCTTCGTCGATATCTTGGATGCGGTTCGTGGCGCCGAGGATGCATATTCTCTGGGGGGTCGATGTGCCGGAGGAGGTGCTGGATGCGAGGCCGTCCCAGTGGGTCATAAACCTAGGAATTGTTAGTCCTACTTTCGTCGCAAGTGAGGTGAGATGGTATTGTGACGTACTCAGCTTTCACCATTCCGCTGGCCTCGTGTTCTCCGCTTCTTCTCTGTCCCAAGACTGCGTCAATCTCGTCGATGAAGACGATACTTGGTTGTAGCTTCCTCGCCAGACTGAAGACGGCGTTGACAAGCTTGTTGCTGTCGCCGTACCATTTCTCCGTTAACGTCGAGATGTGTAGGTTGATGAAGCAGGCACCGGATTCGTGTGCGAGGGCTTTTGCGAGCATAGTCTTTCCGCAGCCAGGAGGGCCATAGAGGAGGACACCGCTGGGTGCGCTGAGGAGCGAGGAAGAGTGCGAATAGAGGTGGGGCATGGTCAGAGGGTAGATGACAGATTCCTTAAGTTCCTCAATAATAGAGTCGAGGCCGCCAATGTCTGAAATGTGTCAGCGTTGTATTGCGACCCAGGCTTCCAGTAGGCCAAATTGCGCGCACTCATGCGCATAATCCCACAGCCCACGGCCCAAGCCCGAACGAATTTGTGACGTACCCTCGAAGCTCACGGGAATCTCCTCGGGCGCAACCACCTCCATGGCAATCGTCTGCTCGTAGGTATTCAGATTGAGATCCTGTATCCTGGGCCGTCTGTGCCTCGATTCTGTGTCTTCCTCATCTTCACTGTCGTATTCGCCGTAGCTTTTCCGCCGCTTGCTTGTAAGGATGGCGTCGAGTTTACGTGTGGCGGCTGAGGCTTTGGCGCGGGCCTCTTCTTTTTGTTGAGCTTCCGGGTCGAGGCGTGTGAGGAGGTTGCGAATTACGAAGTAGGCTATTAGTGGCTACGGGGATATGAGCATGTAGTCGGCAAGGCAGTGAGTGGCACAGTGGGTGTGGGGAGACTGTGGCGCGTTCGTGGGGATAGACGTACTGCTGCAGCTGCCATGAGGATATCTGGGAGATAGCCCGTAAGGCTGCTCTTCTTATTCGCGCTCATGCTCGCTTGGCTGCACTTTCACCAGTGCGCTCGTCTCTGCAGATACCGTGGGCTTGTGCTCAAAGAGCGAATGCTGGGTCGGGAGGTTGATAGAGCGTGCGGTGTCGATACCAAAAGTAGGGACCGATGCAGGAACCGGGCCGCGGCTGCGTCGACCTCAAGCCCGGCGTCACACGAGCTCCGCTCCGCATCCTTGGATCGCATCACATCGCATGCCTTCAACTCCACCTTTCACTCGCACGCATAGTCACAATGGCCGCCGCATACAAGCCTACTGAAGCGATCGCGCTCATTCGACCAACATTCGTCCTACCGCGCATCCGGGCCTCAAATCGCAGAGCGCACATCGGGCGCATCGCCTTCTCCACCACCCACCATGCACAAGCCACACAGACGTCGACGAGCAGTCCGACGCCAAAACCGCAAAGGAAGTCGATTTCTTTGACCGGCGACACGGGCCAAGTCCGATGGTCTGATCTGTCACCGGGCGAAAAGGCAGTGCGGACCACGCAGCAGAGCTTCAACTTTGTAGTGGTCCTGGTGGGCATAGTAGCAACTGTACAGCTTCCCCTCACCAGTCTACTTTTGGAAGCGGCGACTAACATCTGTATTAGGGCGGTGTCGGCTACTTCCTCTTCTCCGATGTCTTCAGTCCCTCCTCCAAGACTGCCTACTTCAACCGCGCAACGACACTTATACGTCAGGACCCCCGATGTCAAAAACTACTGGGTCCAGGCGCCGAAATTGCAGCTTTTGGTGAAGGCTCTTGGTCGCGATGGGCGCGCAATCGCTACCTCAGCAGTACCGAAGAGACTGACAAGTGGGGCACTGAGCATCTGCGCTTCAGATTCTTTGTCGAGGGGCCGTTGGGACAGGGCGTGGTACATGTACATTTGACCAAGAGACCAAGTCAAAATGACTACGACTACGAGACGCTTGCTGTGGATGTAAAGGGTCATCAGAGGATCGATCTGATTTCCGAGAACAAGAAGGACAAGGTTGCGCCCAAGATTTTTGGCGCGCGGTGGTGGTGAAGACAAATCTCACAGCTCTTCGCAATGGGCTCTGGTGGTCGAGTAGCCATACATCCCTCCAACCAAACCTTTAAATTCTCGCTGCTGAACAGGCAGTTCGTGTCAGCCAACATGCAATTTGTTTTTCCGTCCTCAAACGGGCCTTCCCGATGCGCACAGATATGAGAACAGAGCAGGGGCAAGGTAGAAACCTGTGTGCTAGCGCACCACGGACTACACACGACTCTCTTCCCCTGCCCGGGCAAACTTGGTCAGCAAGATTGGGCCAAACCACTGCATTTTGTTTGTGCTTGCTCTAATTGTTTTGCTTCTAGATCCATCAAAATACGTCACACGAGGCTGACAAAAACCATGTGACCCCTCCAGCCTCAGCCATCAAATCCAACTTGACCACGTTCACATATGCACGCTACGACCTTGTGCATCGCCCCCCTAAACCCTGACCCAGAAGCATCGTTTCTTGAGCCCAAACATCAACCACAATGCCCGTGTCCATATCCCCAGCCCAGCCCAAAGATGCAGTCGACATCGCCGCCCTACATGTCCAAGCGTTCAGCCCCAACGCCCTCATGCGAGCCATCTACCCCACCCCTGCTATATGGGCAGCACTTCAGGGCTGCGTCGAAGAAAAAATCTTAGCTGACATGAAGGAGCCCAAAATTACAGTCCTAGTCGCTAAACACACGGACGAGGCTGAAGTGAGGGAAGAGCAAGGTAAGACTGTAGGCTATGCCGTGTGGTGCCATCCGATCAAGGCCGAAGAGCAGGACTGGAAACTACCAACTTGGAAGTTGCCGGAGGGCACTGATTGGAATGTGTTGAAGCCTTGGTTAGCGGCCGCTGGAAAGATTGTGGAGGAAGTCATTGGGCATACGCCGCATTATGGTAGGTGGTGGTGTTACGTGCTTCTGCATGACCTGAGATGCGGACTAACTGGAGGTCTAGATCTTATGTGGCTCGCCGTATCACCTGATTATTCTCGAATGGGTATTGGTACATTGCTACTACGTTGGGGCATGGACTTGTGCGAGAAGGAAGGGGTGTCTGTGTACTTGGACAGTACTCTCGAAGCTGCGCAGACGTTTTATCAGAAAGCGGGCTTCATAGAGAGGGGTAGAATCAGGTTGGTAGTTAATGAGGAGATGTACGAGGAGGTCGCTTTTGTGTACGAGCCCAAGCGATAGACGATACCAGAAATGATAATCGCCGAATTGCTATGAAGATGAATAGTCCTACCCGCTTTTTTCCAGCCTACGTCCAAGTCTCGTGTGCTCAGGCCGCATTTCCAGACCGTTCAAAATGAGTGACCCAGTTCCCTTCTCGCAAGCATACTCACGATCTCTTTGGTTAGCATCGTCGTCATGGCCAGGTCAGGATCATGATCTGGATTGACCTCTGCGATGGACAGTCCAACGACATTGGTGCTAGCCATGAGTACTGTCAGGGCTTGCATCATCGTCTGAAATGCCACACCTGTAAAGTTTGGGACATTTGCCAGCGGGAATTCGCCTGGATCAATGGAGTCAATATCAAGATGGACCCAGATAGCCTCAACCTTGTTCTGCTCAAGGTGCTCCAATGCTTCGTTTGCACGTCCTTCCGGATGGTTTGCCACCGCTTCTGACGAGATGACTTTGAAGTGCTCGTCGTTCAGATATGCTAGGTGCTTCGGCTTGTTCCCCGGGTGGGGAAGGTTTGTGCCAAAGAAAACTGTGTTGGTACTATCGCAGAGCTTCTCACGAGCGAGTACAGGGTCTCGTGTGCCTTCCGACTCATCACTAATTGCCCCGGGCCGCGCCATGAGCTGCGTCATCGTCTGCAGATGAAGTGTACGAAGTCAGTGTTTGGCTCACGTTCCTCTTGCGTCTGAAGTTTGCTCACCATGCTTGCAAAGTAGCCCTTCTAATCGTCGTCCAAAGGTGAGTGCAGATCAGTGTCTGCGTCGATATAGATGAGACCAATAGTAGAGTCTTGGTACTCTTGCTTGACAGAGGAAAGAATGGCTGGCAGCATGCAGCACTCGCCCCCAAGAACTAGCTGGAATGCTCTGGGCTCCGCCTGGAAGTTCACGGTCACCTTCTTTCGCACTCTGCGAAGGAGCTCCAGATTACCCGTCCTGTTGCGGATATTGCCTGGTACGAAGGGGCTGGGCTTGTAGGTCACCTCTCCGTCGAGCACGTCCGGTCCCGGGGCCGGGCCATCGCTGTCGGGGAATTGACTTGGGTCGATGTCAATAACGTTTACGCCCGCTTCGACCAGTCTGTGGTAGATGTCGACCGTTTTGAAAGCCGCAGCCGCCCTGGACTTCCCTGGTATGATGGAGCCGCAGTCGGCAGCCACGTACGTTACGCATGTCTTTCGCGACTGGTCCATGGTCGTGGTTTGTTGATGCAACTGAGATGGAAAAAGCGTGATTGGAGTAGTTACACAAATGTAATGACTGGTCTTCACTGTAGGCGGGGAAGGATGAATCTACACTGACATGTTGCTCATAGGGCGTGCATGCTGGAGTCTGACTACTCTGGCAGCGACATGACCGCAACCAGCTCACCTATTCTCACATTCCACTGTGAGTTGATTCGTTCCCTCAGTCAACATGTCACCTAGGCCTTGGCGTAAGCTGGCGTGAGTCTGCTTCCAATGATGCCTGGCGACGCCGGTGCCACCTTGCAAAGGCGCGGTGACTGTATGCTACAAGCAAGCTTCTTGCGTCGGCTCAGCGGGAGAGCGAGTGACGATGTTAATGTATCCCTGGAAGGTACAAAGGAAGTGTCATGGATGGTCGCGGCTGATGAACCCGACACGCGTCATGGTGGGAACTTGATGAGAGACAGCGGGTACTTGCTTGTGAAGATTGCAAACGAGGAGTATGCCAGCACATGAAGGTATATACCGGATGGTGCTGCTAGCTCAAACATGGGCTGAAGCCAATGTCGCATTCGCACAACCTCGCATTCGTCAAACGACGATAAATTTTCAGCCACCATGACTCGACGCAGCACCAAAGAACAGAGGAATTGAGTGCACGCTTATGCGCACGCCCCATGGGGATTGACATGTTGAGTCGGGGATGCGCGCCATGCTTTAGCACCTGATGCAAAGATCCATATTTCAAAGATGGCACGGATAGAGCGGGCGTGGTCTAGTCACGCAACGGGCCAATGGTAGCGATTCCTTGACACATTCGCAGCTCTCGCACGTTGGCGTTGCATCATGGCTCACACAGTCACGAGGCGTTTGGGCTCCAGTTTGCAACTTTGCTTCCCGTTTCGGCGACCCCTTTGATCGCTTCTACCCGCCGGCCTTGTGTTTCGGATCCACAGCCAGGTCGCGACCGAACGCAAATGTATTTTGGGTTGCGGTCCGAGGACCATTACGCACAGCAAAGTGCCGGACCTTCGTAGCCGGAGTACTCAAAGTCTCATGGCGCCTCCAACGTGGCGGTCGTCCTCATCTCTTCTTCTTCTTTTTCCATAAGCACAGCAACCGCACAGCGCTTCCCTCTCCTACGCAGCACCCGCCGCAATGGAGCCCTCGACCACCAACTCGTCGGAGCACACGCACGTCGACTCGCACGAGATGCAGCAGATGCCGCCCACGTACCCCTCGCCCTCGATGCAGCCCGAGCAAGCAACCGGCAAGACGCGGGTCAGGTTCAACAGCTCGGCCAACGTCGAAGTCCCTGCGCCCCTAGAACACGTCCAGAGCTACACCCGCATCAGCGAATCCGGGTCGAATGAAATCACCACCAACGAGCACACCACCGACGCCGAAGAGCTCTGGAATGCATACCACACCGGCCAACAAAGCCACAACGCGCCGCCGGTGAGCGAAGTGGATCCCGAGGGCGCCTACACTGTCACCGGCAACACCAACGGCGGCATCTTCTACCAGCTCCTGCAAGCCTACAAGCAACCGGTGCGCGGTTATACCGATACATCCTCCGAAGCCAGCGAGACATCACCCACACAGAGGTCGCGACCTGGGTCTTCTTCAGGACCCAGCACCCCCTCGAAGAAGAAATGGTACAACGCAAACAAGCCAATGCAGTCAACAGAGACGCTGGCGACTCTCGTTGGCGCTTCAGCCAAGCTGGCAAACCCCAAGGATGACAAGAAAGACGCCGCCATGCGCCCGCGCCATCACAAGCGCAGTAGCAGTGGAGGAATCATTGCCAAGGTGTTGAAGCCAAAGGAAGATCAGGATGCCAGAATCAAGATACACGTTGCAAACATCCTCAAGCGACAGCAGTACATCATCCGCATGTGCCGCGCTCTCATGCTCTTTGGCGCACCCACACATCGCCTCGAAGAGTACCTTGCGACAACGGCCAAGGTCCTTGAGATCAACTCCCAATTCCTCTACATCCCCGGGTGTATGATCATCTCCTTCGATGACAGCATGACCCACACCGCTGAAGTCAAGATCGTTCGCACCGACCAAGGCGTCAACCTCGGCAAGCTGAAGGACACTCACGACATCTACAAGGAGGTTTTGCACGACGTCATCAGCTTGGACGAGGCTCTTGCCCGCTTGGACGACGTCATCAACGCAAAGGATCGCCATCCACGTTGGCTGACTGTCCTCATGTACGGTCTTGCTAGTGCGGCAGTCTCTTGCTTCTTCAAGGCCCGCCCCATCGACATGCCCGTCATCTTCGTACTCGGCATTGTCCTCGGGCTGCTCCAGCTTGTCATCGCTCCGCTGTCCAAGACATACAGCACTGTCTTCGAAATCACTGCAACTATCCTCATGAGCTTCCTTGCGCGGGCGTTTGGTAGCATCAACAACGGGAACCTCTTCTGCTTCTCGGCCATTGCACAGAGCGCCATCGCTCTAATCCTTCCCGGATGGTTGGTGCTCAGCTCGGCCCTGGAGCTCCAGTCTCGTGCTATCGTACCGGGATCTATCCGCCTTGTCTTCGCCATCATCTACTCGCTCTTTCTCGGATACGGCATCACTGTCGGCACAGCTATATACGGTGCGATAGACTCCAACGCCACCAATTCGACCCAGTGCCAGGATCCAATGAACCCATACTGGAACTTCCTCATGGTCCCACTCTACGTCTTCTTCACGACCTTCACGGTACAGGCCAAGTACAAGCAGATGCCGGCTATGATAACCATCGCGTTTGCTGGCTACATTGTCAACTTCTACGCTGGCCTGAAGTTTTCCTCATCTGCCCCCATCGCCTATACATTTGGCGCCTTCACTATCGGCGTGTTGGCAAACTTGTACAGCCGATTACGTCATGGAGTTGCAGCTGCCGTCCTCCTACCTGCAGTATACGTCCAAGTTCCGGGCTCTCTTGCGTCGAGTGGCAGTATCAACTCTGCCCTACGAACAGCATCAGCTCTGATCAAGGGCGCAGAGACATCGACCGACGTTAGCAATCCTTCATCTCGCTACGAAAACATTACTGACGTAGCGCAGACCACCACCGACAGCCTCAATGCCATCGTCTTCAATGTCGCTGCGTCCATGATCCAGATTGCTATCGGCATCACTGTCGGGTTGTTCATGGCTGCCCTTCTGGTCTACCCCATGGGCAAACGACGCAGCGGTCTTTGGACACTCTAAAGTATACATTCTAATATTTTCTGTCATGCATAGCGATATGGCGTTATAGCGACCCAAAATGGGAGGAGTTTGGGACATCTACCTGCTAATGATCTATAGTACTCGAACACCAAGATGTTCAACTTCAATGACCCACATGGAGATGAGTGGTGTCGAGGTGAAATGTGAAGGTAAGCCCCATTGCAACACGAGCGACTCTATCCGAAGCAGTTGTCGACTCGCCTTGCGACAACCAGTTCCAAGCAGCAAGCCGTTGCGACCACTCCACATTGGTTTCCATGCGACATCCGGACCACGCAGCCCTCGCCGGATTTGGACTTCCACAGCGACCAACCTACGCAGCATTGGCCCTAGCAAAACATCCCAAAGAACACCATCATCCGCCTGGTTCCACTGCAACCCATCGCCGGATTTAGACCTTGCGCCCAAGCCTCCCATCGGTTAACTTCTGCTCCATGCACCTACTCCCTTTCACGGCACACGATATCTCACCTATACCTCCGCGCCCACTCGTCCTGTTGTGATGCTTCGCTTATGATTGCGAGGCTCGCACAGGTTGATGGCACCATGCACTGCGTAAACGCCCTGATGTTGATACCCCATCCATAGCCATCTTTTGCTAACCGAAGCTATTTCGTGCAACGTGTCGTGACGTGTCCTATCCCTTCTTATGTGTTTTAGGAGGAACAGTACATACAACGGAAGAGCTGTTCCAAGAGCAAAGCGTTTAGATATAGCATCTAGACATGAAAATATACCCTTGTTTTCCAAGACCTTGCTTTCCACACCTGAAATATACTTGAATCTTCTGAAACAGCAACATGCTCGTCGTTGCATGCTAAGATGAATGTCAAGCGTGGGCACGAAGTCACAAGCTGTTTAGTCAGACTCTCGCTAGTTATTGAGGAGTACAAAGACGAATGAAGAGTGGGACGGTGTATATCACATAAGCCAGTGTATCTAGCGCTGCCTCATAGCAGTGACGTAGCGTGAAGGTCTGCACTCAGTGACATCACCTCCGATCCAGGAACAGAGGAGGTATTAGGTAGGTGTACAAGCTTTGTAGTCATCGAGCGATCACGGCGACTTCGTTAATCGGAATCACTGCTAGCGAAGCATCACCAAGCTTCTCGTACCAACACTTCGTATCTGCAGCCCAATGAAGCCCCGGTGCACAGACTTCTCCCAAGACTTGCGCAACGTCGAAGCTGAGGTACAGTCACCTTCTAGAAGGCCCGTAGAAGACGCACTGACACATTTGAGACCATGTCCGTTGAGCTCTGGAAAGAGAACGGTCTTGGATCGGGTCCGAAGCGTGCAGGCTGTGATGTGATTGGTGCTGGACGGCTTACGAGATACGGGTATGCAGTCAGCATTGTGGCAGTGGTGTCATCGGTGGTAGTTCGGACCCGCTTTGACTTAAGACTGTTGGTATCAAGATGGATAGTAAGAGGAGTCGCTAGTATGCGTAATGTCGCATAAAGCTAACCATTTGCTTTTTGATTGTGTTGAGTATGTCGAACAACGAGATGGAGCGTATGCATGTAGCCAGACTGTTGCAGGTATCAACGTACATGATGCTATTGGTAAATTATCAAAAGCTCTTTCTAGATAGTAGATGGGCAGATGTGCTGCAGGCGGCGATCATCTGTCTTCCCCGTCACTTGTTGAGCACTGCATGATAATGACTATAAATCGTACGATAGATCTGAACGGTGGGGTCTGGTAAGGCAGCGGACCTAAAGCAGCGATAGTTGTCGTAGGGCTGTTAGTGTCCGCCAGGATCTACA